TACTGAGCCGCGTGACTATTTTTGCTTTCATGGTTCTATTTCTTGACAACCCCATGCATAAGCATTCTATGATAGCAAAAAAATCTGCTATTTAAAGCTCAGTTTTCTTACCTGTTTAGACTGTTTTCCGGTTAATAGTACTTCTTTGATGTTTTCCTACCTTATTGAGCTATTATTTAAGTTTGACTTAATTTGAAGATTATTTTGCACATCCCCCTTAAGAGGTTAACGTTAATATCATCTATCCTACATTTTCGTTCCTCTCGTCAACTCCGGACCTACAATATTTTCCAGCACAGTTGCTGATGTGAAACAAACGTTCTACAAGACTAGTGCATTTCATGCAGGATTGATTGTCATTATACCGTTAACATGAAAAGAAGAAGATCTTAAAGTACCAAAAGGTTTTACCTTGGAGAGTTACAAATTAGAAAGCCTTGCTTGGCGCTTTTATTATTTAGCCACTTTTCGTTCTGATTGACGAACAAGGTTTAAGACATTTAAGATAAATATTGCACAGTAGAATTTGCGTTGCTTGGTTATTACAGGACGGTCGGGGAATGGTTCTTATTTTGCCTCTTTCTTGCCTTCATATCAATAAACGGATAGCCATTTCAGCAGAAATCCCTTAGAGTGACTGAACTCTGAGACAGAAGGATCTACTGAGCCTTGTTTTGCCTTCTTTTTCTTTCCAAGAATTTATCTTTTCCCTTCGTTCCTCTTGTGCTCAGCGCTTGACGTTAATTTCAGGTGGTTTTATGCAGATTTGCACTTGCTCTGCAGTAACATGTTGTGCTAGCAACGAGTGGTATAACAACGAGGATGAGTTTTAAAATGGACGCTTGAAGATAGCTTTCGTTTTTGACTTCTTCTCTACGCACAGCGTAACCAGGATGTAAAACAAAGTTGTTTCCATCCAAGGTGAATGACAGAGCAACTGCAAAGGATACAAGTCAGCAGAGCGCGACAGCAGCGCCAACGTAATTGCGTTTAAAGAATGTCAAATAGTTAGTTTGGTGCGTACTTGCCATGTATCTGTCAATGGCAGTCAAAGTCATCGTAAACAGCGTTAAAATGCTGAGCACTTAGATGGCGTAGCCTTGAAACCGGATATCCACTCGCCTTTGATCAGGACACCGAGAGTGAATTGCATTACAAACAGGGACATTACCAAATCGATCATAGTATCCGGTTTTTTCGGCTCTTTGTTTCACGTGCGTGAGTCAAAGAGCCGAAACAGAGAGCCGAAACGCGTTTTGGTCAGAATAGGGTATCGATTCTGGCCATTTTGGTCTCAAAGAGTGTAATATTCTACCCTGGGTATTGTAATTCAGGACAGGGTACTAAGTTATGGGGAATCACTCTGGCCTGGGACAAGCCCAAGACCAGGCGAAAATAGAAGCGGATAGCTAGATCATACCCGACTTACTCGTTGGGTGGGAGGGTGGGTCGCCAGCCTCTTTGCTTTCACGACCTCGAGTAGAGTGACGGGGTGGAACATGTGTAAATT